CCCCAAAACCCCAAAACCCCAAAACCCCAATATGGCTAAACCATATTTAAATAATTATAAAGATGTTTCAGGATACTCACTCCCAACACTCAAGTACAAATCATGCTCACAGAAGTGAAGTTTATTACTCATTTGGATAGACATCCTTGCTTGGTGATAAGATAGCGATCCCATATACGTGGTTTTGTAGCGAAAATTAAATTTTTGAGCTAAATCTGTACTATCTTGTTTTAGAAAGATTAGGTCGGCAATATGTTAATATCGGCATCAGTCCCTTCTTAGTGAGATAAACCAATCAGGCTACTTTGGTTCATTGCTAGGTGTAGGCCCCCATATGAGCCTTCTCTTTATTGAACTAGGAAACTTTTGAGAAGAAGAGAGTTACTTTTTAGGAATTAACTTTATGCACACATTTTATCGAAGCTTCATAGCGAATGTATTAAAAGTTCGAAGAATACGATCTTTTTCAAACAGTCTAATTTTAGCCTAGAAATGGAAAAATTGATTGATCGGCCAAACCAAGTGCCAAACATAGAAAACCCATATTCTAGCATAAGGGTAAGAGCATATCCACAATATTTTATCTTTTTACGGTTTTTACCGAATTTGTAGCTGAAAGCAAAAGCCCTCTGGAATTCCTGAATTCAAAAAGCTCAGAGAATTGTTGATATGTACAACAGGTTCTCGGGTTATAATAAAGAAGTTGATGAGTACATAGCTGATGTGGTCAAAGAAACCATCCAAAACACTTATACGAAGTACATCCAGATAGTCTGAGGAGTCACCATTGGACTCTCAGCAGTCAGTGCAGTCATGAGTATTCCAGGTAAGCTAGCGGTAATCAGCCTTTAGACCCAAAAGATGTTGATAAAGCTGCAAAATTGCAGACCTGATACAACTCAATTGTATTTGCAGTGATATTTATGGGGCTGCTCATATGTCTCAAGTACAAACCGATTTATGTGATGTATTTTGTACCTCTTCTGTCTGGTGTCAGCATGTATATGTGCAATTTGCTGACTTTAGAAAAAGAGACTTACAAGCCCAGTGAATATCATATTGCTGGCACTTGCATTGCTCATCTTCTGCTCATACTAGTTCCGCATCAGTGGAAGTCCAGCTGCCTTGTGTTTTTTATTTTGCAGTTATATTTTGTATACTCAGTTTGGGTCAAGTTCAGTTTCACTGATAGCGACATTATTGGAAACATGGTTTTCTCATGCCTGTGGTTTACATTATCATCGTTCATGCTAATGATCAAGTCTAGAACTATGTACGCTGAAATTATCAAGAACAAAAAAATACAAGAAATGAAGAAGGTCCTCCAGATCCTTCCGTTAGGAGTAGTCATTTGGCCGTCCCAAGCATCTGGAAAATGGTTCACAAATCATGAATTTAACAAGAAGTTTACAAAAATCAGGCAGGACCTTGACGAGCTTGACGATATTGATGTCTCATTAGTCGACAACACTGGTGCAAACAAAGCTTATAAAGACATTCCAACCAACCTTGCATCGCTACTCAGAGCTCAGCAGCAAGCGCTTGACAGCAAAGACGCAATGAGTGACACAGACGTCACCATTCAGTGCAGTAAGTTCCCAGCCAACGTGCTTGGCAATGATGATGCTGAGAGTGAACAGAGGACATGTAGGATCAAAACTCTGATGGTCGAGTGGGAAGGAGTTACTTCGTATATGCATGTCTTCATTGACAACACTGGAGTGATCAAGCTTGAAGAAGCCAAAAACAACATCAAGTGACAGAAGATCATGTTTGCGAGCGCTTCGCACGAGTTTAGGAATCCACTGAACTCGATCACGAACTCCATTGACATTGTGTTTGATGCATTCAAAGCAATCAACGAGGTAGCTCAGCCTTATTTTGCTAGCCTCAGTGGTGAAACTCAAGATTTCATCACCATGAACACAGAAATGCTGGCCAAGTTTGTCAAGATAGGCAAGAGCTCATCGTTCTTATTGCTGACGCTGATCGAAGACGTGTTGAATCTGTCCAAGATGGAGGCAGGCACCTTTGCCATTTCAAAAGAACACTTCAAAGTAGAAAGGATCCTCACAGATGTATATGACATCTTTTCTATGCAGTGTCAGCGCAAAGCACTGGCTCTTGATCTGCATATATCTGAGGCAGCCAGACAGCGAGAGATATATTCAGACGAAATGAGGCTAAAACAGATCATACTGAATTTGGTCTCGAACTCGTTGAAATTTACTTTCGATGGTGCCATCACAATCAGCTGCAGATTACTTGAGCATGATGGAGTCTGCGTTGCTGAGTTCAGCGTCAGAGACACCGGCGTTGGCATCAGCCGTGAGCAACAGAAATAAATTGTTCAAGCTGTTCAGCATGATCACTGAAACCAATTCTTTGAATCCGAACGGAAGTGGAATCGGCCTCACCGTCAGCAAGAAGTACGTTGAAGCCATGGGAGGCCAGATCAGTCTGGAATCAGACGAAGGACAAGGAACCCTAGTCACATTCACAATCCGAGCAGACGAAGATGTTAAACAGCCTGAAGACATGGTTAAAGCAATAAAGCCTGCAAAGTAAGAACAACAAGTTGTCAATATCTTGTTTGTTATTTCCAGAATTTTTGCTTCGGAACTGGAAATGTAGTCTGATTTAACTAGTCTTATATAGAGAAATATGGGACATTCACGATTCGAGTGAAGAAGGTAGCATCCCTATTGATCTCATCAAAAGAATCAAAACAGGCCGTTGCCAAGTGCCAATTCACCAATGTAGAGAAGAGCGTAAAGAGTAAAGTTATTTAGTCATGATTGCTTAAATTATATTTTATTGATTAGCTCTATTATAATATCCATCTTAGGGGTTTTGGGGTTTTGGGGTTTTGGGGTTTTGGGG